AAAAATATCTGAGGGCGGAGTCTGAAAATAATTTGTATGAGAAACAGCAGATGGACAGTTATGCAATGAAACAAACAAAGATTTTTTACATCTATAAATGATGATCCAGGCCTAAAAAAAAGCCAAGTCTTATTTAGCAACCAGATGTCAGAAGCATTTGGGAAAGACTGTGTACAAGTCATACTGAAAATGACCAAATGAGGAATACGGACAGCCACACGCCACAGCAACAAGTGCTAAAAAAACACGTCATCACTCTGAGAAGAATAACATCCTTTTCTGACAGCAAACCCACAAGAATGACACAAAAAGGAGAGTTTTGCCCTGGTGGGCTGCACTGCCGAAGCGAAACACGACACGCTCCTGAAACCCTGACACAACATTGAGGGAGCGGCAGAATTCCTTCAAGCAACAATGCTGCGGCCGTTTCCTGTGTGGGCTTCCTGTTGGTCATGCATTGCGTTCCAGCACATGGTCAACACTTTGAGTCCAGAGACACCGGGCAGGACACGGCCATTAAACACATAATACGTTCATACGAAGGTGACAAAACAACTCCCGTGTAAACAAAGACATCGACTTTTATCAGTGACTGCAGTACAATATCCTCTCTGAAACGTACTCGACTTCCTAAACGTTTCCTCGCTTCCTTTACGGTTTGCCAATAAATGTCAAATTCACAATGCGGCCACCAACTCGCTTTCCTTTCATTTTCTAACTGAAAAATGCTTTCCTCCGACAGGGTTTAAAACATTTATTCAGCTTCAGTGGCTTCATGCATTATTAGTGCGGTGCTTAGTCAGACACTTCCGGATATTCAGAGGAGGATTCCTTGTAAACAATAACAAATGAAGCAGCTGGCTGCTGTACTGAGAAGAGGACTATTTTGATTTGGTGAGATCAGCAAAAACGTCTACCGCTTTGGAAAGATTTACCCATATGCACCGGTCAGTTACTTTTGGAGTAGCATCTTGACAAGCATGAAAAAAGATAGCAGAGAAAATAAACTCTCATAAAAATTAAAGAATGGCTTGTTCTGCAGTGAGTGGGTGCCATCAGAATGAGAGTCCAAACAGCTTATAAAAACATCACAATAATAATATTGATAAATAAGTAATCCACACCACTCAAGTCCATCAGTTAACATCTTGTTAAATGAAAAGCTGCATGTTTGTAAGAAACAAATCCATCATTAAGACGTTTGTAATCCACAAGTAATCCATACGACTCCAGTCCATCAATTAACATTTTGTGAAGTGAAAAGCTGCATGTTTGTAAGAAACAAATCCATCATTAAGACGTTTGTAACTTCAAACTGTTGATTCCGGCTAAAATATGAGCCCTCTATCCATAATATTGCTTTCTCTAGTGAAAAAGTCGTCTTATTTGAATTGGGAGAGAAATATGCTCAGATCAAGCACCGTTTACAAACCAAAACAGTTTTGAACATATATGCTTATAGATTTTGATGTGAGGAGACCTATACGGTCTTTTTACGCGTTGCATCGCGCCGCGTAAACATAAAACAGCGACGAGACAAAAACATTAAAACCCATTATAAATTAGGCATTTGTTGCATCCAGTGAGGGAGACATAATTGCGGATTATAATGACTTATACTGTCTTTTTACACGCTGCGTTGCATCGCGCCGCGTAAACATAAAACCATGTCTGCATTTGTGATCGGAGAAATGAAAAACAACAAGCATTACTCTACACTGCCCAAAACTCACGTTTGAATCATCAGTGGCACATCCTTGAACAGCCGGCATTGTAGTCTACTCTCCCAGGATCAAGAAACAGTCCTCCATAAAATGCGCTGCACACATCTGAATATTTAGGTTGAACTTAGGCTTGTCGCGATAGACGGTGCTGACGGTGACACCGGTGTTAAGCCGCAACACCGGTTACGTCACTTGCCCACTGCGGCACCGATCCCCACCGTCGTTTTGATTTTTTATATTGTTTGCTGATTTTTACTTTATTTAAACTTTGTGTCATTTATTTATTTTATTTGACATATTGGTGTATGCCATGCCTCCAATCTTTCTTACTCGTTTTGCTAATAAACGTTCTATGTTTATTATTTATTTGGTTATATATTATACATGTTTAATTAGCCTATTTCCAGTTTTCTATTTAAGTTATGTTATTTTATATTAGGCATAGCCTGCCCTATAGCATGGTGTATTTTTATTTGTTTTGTTAATAAAAGTTCTGTTTTATATATAGGCTAAAGTGAGTTTGACGTTGCATTTTGTTGTTGCATTCAAGCAATTGAAGCCAAACTGCCGCTAATTCGAAATTCGCATGGCACTTTTAAGCTATTTAAGAGGGAAAATTCAAACGAACAATTGTTTTACGCCGAATTGCCGCTATTTGAAAGTTAAAGTAAAATGTGCACGCCGCTTTTACAAGCTATTTAAAAGCGAAGGAAAGCGAGGAAAAGAGGGAACGCCCCCACGGTGATACCGGTATTACGTATGTTGTCACACGTCGATTAACCGGTGGGAAAATTTCCTCACCGTCACAACCCTAGTTGAAATGTTCTGGAAAAGTGTTGTAAATTCAACTTAACCACTGATTTCTAGTCGTGTCCTCTTTTGGAAGGCCAAACAAAGTAGTATCGCTTTCACAACGAAACACACAGCGTCTCGACATGGCGGCAGCAACAATACTACAGCGAGAATAAAAGTTACACCTTCTTTCTTTGCGTGAACATTTGGGCGGCGTTATGCAAATTTTCCCACATCGTGACGTAGACATGTGGGGGCGTGTTGGAACGAGCCGTTTTAGGTAGGCGTGGCTGATTCTTAACTTTTATAAAGAATATCTCTTTGGATTTGAGATGTTAGTCTTTGCAACTTTACAGATCTTCTTTATGCACCAAGAGCTTGTAACACTCCAAAGAGAAAGGAAAAATTGAAATCGCATCATATGACCCCTTTAAGGTAAGAGTTGTACGTGTCAAAAAAGACAATCCACAGCCTCAAATGTAATGTTCATTTGGCAATGTTGTCCTTTCATGTACGATTCATAAATGTGACATCATTGTTAAGCTCGCACAAACAGTCCTATCTTTCTGGCTGAAACACGCTTGCAGTCACATGCACAAATCTGCACACGCCTATGCAAAAACTATGAGCGCATTGCACTGCGGTAGTTACAGGACATATTGAAACCTATCCTAGTTTCCACAAACTCGATCTGCATAACTGGCCTTTTCACGAAACTCCTCCCTGAATATTTCATTCATTTCCACCAGGAGACACCTTGGCAGGGTACAGATGCGAACTGATCTGAAATCAGTGTTTTCTACAGATCTGCAGGCGGTTAGGAAACTGAACTGATCCCAGATGAGAAGGGCCACAGTGGAAGACGCAGCCGGTTCTGCCGCATGCCGTCTCGATTTCACTGGTGTGGGGAGAAACGTAGGCACCAGCAGATCAAATACGAGCATGATGAAAAAGGCAAAATGCTAGAAACTAAACGAATGTTGCCCAATCGTACAATATTCTTTTTTTTGTCAATACAAATATCTATGATTTGTTTACTCGGACTAAAAAGTCACCACACTAATAAAAAAAAAAAAACGATTTTTGAAGCATAAATACTAATGGCATATAAATATCCTGAAGGATCAGACGGAAAGCAATGCAATTTTCTTGTCTAACTAAATGAGCCAAAGAAAAGCTGACATAACTAGCCTTGTGCATAAGTGCCAAACTTCTGCAATCGCATGGTGTTCAAATGAAATGCACGGGCAGCAAACTTTAATGAGAAGAGTGCTTTGGCAGGTGTGCGGAGCCAATTTAATCAGCTGTAATGTTTGTTGCAAAGAAACAAACAACATTTGCATTCCCAGATGCAATCTCTCTCTCTCTCTCTCTCTCTACATATATATAAACAGCAAAACTACAACAAAATCCTCAAAACCTGATATGATAATTTATCCATTTTCATTCAGTTATTTTTACTCTCCAAGGACATAGCAATAATATTCAAAAATTAATTGCATACAAAGCTAACGTTGAACTAATCAGTCGTTTTCATTTACACTTCGAGAATTCATTTTTAATCAGCATGTGCGTATTGCTTTCCAGTAAATACTTAATAATCTTGAAAAGATTTCCTTTTTAAATGCAGATTTATTTGAGAAGCATAACGGTGAGACAACTATTTTTGTCTCGATTTTCAGCAAGAAACGCACTATACTCAAAAAGAAGAAAATGTGTACATGTTTAAGAAAATTAAACTCAAGATATGTCCTCTATACAAATCTATTATATTTGGATTTTTTCCTTTTCTTGTTCTTTTAAGGATGTTTGGATATTTTTAGTGGAAGGCAATACAAACAAACTGATTAAGAAAATTGATAATAAGATGATTTTTGCACCACATTATTCTTGTCTCAAATACCATTAAATACCCATACGTAAATGCATTTACCTGTATTTCTGACACTGTCTTCATTTAAATGATTAAAATACAATTCCAATATAAGTGAGGCACGAAACACAAATACTGCTATCAGTAAGACAAGTTTCTCACTGATGTAAATAAGTTACATTTCATTGGGATACAGCAAATGTATAGATACATTTGTTCAATAGATTCAGCTTTTTAGTATTTTATCTAGTATTGTATAGTAGCATCAAGTACCAAAGCGGATTCAGACCCAGCAGTAGAGACATCAAGTGGTGCTTAACTACTGAACTTAACTACTGAAAATATGAATGTTAAGCTACTATACAAACACGACGGCTACGCCACATTACACGTGCTCTGTACTTATTAAAAGAAGCAGGAGTTTGCCATGTAAAAGCTCTAAATGTAAACAGTAACGCAAGTTGCAATGCTAGTTTTGCTGCGAAATGTTGCGGCGCGTCTACCTGACTCAGGTGCATTTCCGCCGCATGCGCACTGACGAATGAAACATGGCGAAGAAAAGTTTGACCAAAACAAAATGTACTGACATGACAAGAGACACGTCTACTCACCACACGAACAATAAATAATTGATATCCCTTTTTTTCCCTTTCAGTGTCCAGTGAAATAGTTTACGGTGTATCAAAAATTCCTATTGACTCCTGCTGAATTTTGGCGTCAAACTGCTGGACGGAAAAAAGCGGAAGCGCCAGACGACTCACCAAAATACATTGGTACAGATGTGCACTACGAACATAACACCATAAGCACCTTCGCTCTTATGACTTAATGTTGTTTTCACTCTTTCTTTAGTTAGTTAAAATCCTGTAATGTGAAGTGGACGGTCCCCGCAGTAGTCCTGTGTGCAGTACTGACTTGACTGACTGACTGACTGACTGCGGGCACCTGAATTTCCAGCTGGTTTCGGTGCTGAGGTGAAACTCCGCCTCTCCTCTACAATACAGTGTGTACTGCAGTCTATCTGTCCAAGTGCAGCACGTCGAAGGGAGGAGTTTCTTCTTTCTCACACTTTTCCTCTGCTGCGTCGACACGGAGCAGCTACTGGAGAGACTCATTTTGGTGGCTGTGTTTCAAACCTTACTGGGCTTCTAGACTGTAGAATTTTAGTGCATAACGGCGCGTCAGCTGAGCTAGTAACCTATGATTGCGTGAAGTGAGTTGAACGGAACGGAAACAATAGGCTACTGTCTAGTAGGGCTGGGCGATATTGCCAAAAAAATCATATCTTGGTGCTTTTTGGCTGAAATGCAATACGGTATCGCGCTATTTTATCACGATAAATTTTTTTTTGTATTTGCATATATTTGTAGCCTATGAAACATCCGATATGAGCTGAACGGAACTATCAAAATACTTTCTAGTAGGCTAGGGCTGGGCAATATGGCCAAAAAAATCATACCTCTGTGTTTTTGGCTGAAATGCAATATACGGTATATATCACGGTATTTTCTACATTTTGCATTTGTATATATATATATATATATCTATATATATGCCTATAACATCCTGCCCAATGTTGTCCAATGGAACAATGTTTATATTAACGGCAATGAAAACAAATATAGTAAAAGTAGGCTATTTTATCCATTATGTGCAAAAAAAGGGGCTAAAATCACATTATATTCTAGCATTGTAACATTACAATCTAAAAACAAAATTTATGATTTTCAAGCAGAAGTTACATTCATTAATCTAAAAATGAAAGTAAATGAACCCAAGAGCACAGATTAATTGCACTATATTTTGATTACCCCATTACCAGTGTTGCATTACAAGTAACGCGAGTTACGTAATCAGATTACTTTTTTTCAAGTAACTAGTAAAGTAACGCATTACTTTTTAATTTTCAAGAGAATATCTGAGTTACTTTTTCAAATAAGTAACACGTTACTTTTTTTCCAATTTATTGATTGACAGCTCTGCTGTCGCCATGGTGACAGAAATCAGAAGTTGTTACTGTAGTTCTAAAATAAATATGCATTAATTAATCTCACTCAAAAAAAAACAAAACACACAGATTCAGTATTCCTCAAAATGAATAAAAATAATGCGACTCAGAATATTTACTTTTTTATGGAGTAACGCAATATTGTAATGCATTACTTTTAAAAGTTACTTTCCCCAACACTGCCCATTACTGCTATCATAAAATACACTTGTAGGTTTAAAATTCTACATATGGCACAATTATTGCGCTTTTATTCTATTGCGCTCTGTCTGTTTGGCACGCATGCGCGCAGCGGCGCTCCTTCACTGAAGTCTGTGGAGTTTAGCAGAGGATCGCGTGCAGAAGGCTCCTGAAAGCAAAACGGAAATAATGACTTTATAACATTTACAGATGGAGAATATACCTGTGAAATTTAGTTCATTGAGGAAAACAGCACATCTTAAAGCAGCACTATGTAACTTTTTCTGTGTTCAAAATTTGCAAAATGTATATAATGAGCGAGTACATCATGAATTCATCTTCCAAACCTCGTTTTTGTCTTATTCCGAGTCACTACGGTACACTTATAATAAGTACTTATATTTGGACTATTGTAGCCTGGTCGGGTCGTCACCGCTGCGGAGTAACACATACCTGCGTGAATCGCCAATAGACATAAACTTAGAGAAGTAGCTCCGGTTGGGATGTTCTTCCGCGGGATGTGTGCAGTTCTGTGTATTAACCTCTAGAGAGCCAAAAGTTACATAGTGCTGCTGCTTTAAACAGCGCGAGTATCCTATCTGTCAGCAGCACATGAGTCTGTCAGAGCATCTGACGGGGTAAACCGCTTTAAACTAACTATACGTAATGACTATATCTTACCAGTTATTTTAAAGCCCTTAATATAAGCATGTCTCATGTTTAGGACAAACTGGATTATGCGCTTTCCCCGCAGCAGCTCGATATATCGCACTTTTTGTAGTGGGGCATGTTGTCACACTACAGTAAATGGGGTAAAAAAAATGGTCATACTGGAACCTGGCATTAAAATAGACTAAAACAAGTGAACACTAAATATGAATACTAAAAATAGTAACATACAAAAATATGTTCTTTTGCCAACAAATATTGTGGTTAATACATTTATGTTAACAATATCTAAGACAAATTCCTCCAAAAAGAGTGAAAAAAAAATATTGAAATGCATTTACTGTGTATCCAAAAAATTATAACATGCAGAGATACTAGCAACATTCTTTTATTATTACAAGTGCAAAAAATGAAGGGCCCAGTGCATTTAAAATCCACAACAAACATTTCGGTCACACAGGACCTCATTGTTCACAATCTTATATATACACACATATATATTATATAGTATACAGTATACACTGGGCAGTATGCAGTAGTCTAATGTTGTCTTGTGAACATACCCAAAGGGTTCCCCTAATAAAGTTTGATCAGTGCTTATGTATTGTCAGTTTTGGACGTTTAACAGCTTTGTATTATTTATTTATACTCTTCTATCTTGTGATGAAAGCAGTAGTCTGGTGCGATGTGATGTAAGACTGCTGTTATCTGGACACCATCTGTCCAATCCTGTTACATAAAACGATGAGGGGAAAATATTTAACTAGTCCATTATTACACTGTGCATTGCTCATCTGAGTCATATATCCATTTAATCATCGCTGTCCAAATATCTTTTAATAGGAGGTACATTATGCATGCATTCAGTGCTCTTGAATGGGCCGATGAAACAGAGTGCAAAAGGAAATCAGGCACATTATTTGAGTGCTCTTAGAGAGGTCACGGTGTATCGGAACGGGACACTCCTTTCCCAAGGAAGTACTTGGAAAGCCCATTTAAGAGACAATGCATTTTCCTTCTGTAAGTCTTTTCCCTTAGGAACATATAATGTTTCCTTCTCTGATATTCAAGGTCTTGAAATGACTTGCAGTCAGTGTGGTGCAAAGTCCTTTATAAGGTTGTTAAGTATCTATATAATGAAAATGTGAGGGTTCTCTGTGTTTATAAACGTATCCGGGAATAAAAATGGCTTAAAAAGCCTGGATTCAAAGACTAGCGGTTTTCCCACTTTGCAGGACCAAGTGTAAAATGGTAATAAGGACATAGAGAAGATTATAGAAGATCATTAGTTGGTAAATGGAGCGTACATATTCAGTTTTACAGCAGTTTGAGCTTGAGCCATGGCTTATGAGCATTAATAGTGCTAGTTTCATTACACAGTTCTCATGTTAGAATTATGGCTTAATTATATTTCACGTTTGCATTAGATCATTTGGGCCGTTGCTTTAAAACTGGGTGAGATCCTAAAGGCAGCAGGTCATTAAATAATTGGGCTGGTGGATGTGTGCCATTCCCACCCTGCTGCTATTGATGTGTGCTGAGGCAAAATCAGTTCACACTAGTTCAAACATGATGCTTTGGTTTGTTTATGACCTTGGTTTGGTAGTGGGTACAAGTACAGTTGCTCTAATGTATGTATACTTGCTGATATTATACACAAAAACTTGTGCATTTGGTCACTCTTATTGAACTTGACATGAAACAACAACATGATCCTTTCATCTCATTCAGAAGATAAATCCAAACTTTAGCATGACAACAGGTCACGAGACACACGAGAGCCAATCGCATTTCTTATTTTTTAATAAATTGTGACTTTAGTTGTGTCTGCCTGTTATATGCTGTATGGGCAAAAAAAAACAGGAAAAAAAAGTTACAAATAATCATGTATTTATGGAAGCCAGTTTCTGCCACTGAATAAATATAAACAATAAAAAAAGATAATTGCGACTTTTTATCTCTTTTTACATTGTTTTAAATTGAGAAATGGTTAGGTTTAGGGGTAGTGGTCAGTTTAGAGGCCTAGAAATCTCTGAATAGCATAAAGTAAATAACATTATAGTGGCTGTTTAAATTGAAAACCATACCTCAACATATATGTCATAAAAAGTAATGCCAGGGTGTCCTGATCAAGCGTCCATATGTGACAAGTTGGGAGTGAAAACATGTTGGAAACAACATTTTAAGAAAGAGGACGGGACTTGATTTTATCCATCTGCAACTTGGATTGTGAAAAAGGAAAGCTGTTTTCAGAATCGGGGCATGTTTTTATATTTTAAGGAAAAATCACAAAAACAAATATTTTTTTCCTTGCAATAATGTGCACTATTGATTTGTTCACCAGGAATGCTGTGGGTGTGGGTGGGTGTTCTGAGTGGTTGCTAGGGTATTTTGGGTGGTTTCTAGGTGGTCGGCCCAAGTCAAGAGAGTCCACATCTAAGTTTCAATGGGCCTGTTTACACGTAGCCACAAGTCTTGATCAGTCAAATCGCTGATAAGAAGCGTAACGGCTGATGCTAACACTCCGGCTTTGGTGGTACGCAGGGAAGGAGTAAATGACATGACATGAATTATTGAAATTATTGTATTATATTGTATGTTGTTTAATGAAAATAAAATATGTTCTTTCAATGGCTTCAGAGTTTCAATAAATAGACTTGAAATGTTACTAGTGGCTGCTGCATATGATGATGATGATGATATAAGGCTTTTTAATGAATAAAGGTTAAGAAAAATATTTTAATAAATAAAAAGGTATTCTTTCTATGGCTTCCAGATTTATATACATGATGTAAATGTATTCCAGATAATACATGATGTAAAATGTACTTTTAAGTAAAACTTGTTATTTGACATTATTTAATAATAATGTATAAGTGTTTTAAGAAACATTAATGAAAGTATCTCTCTTAAAAGTCTCTCTTTTTACCTGTTATTACATTAATATTGTATTATCTGGAAGTATAGATACAGTTGTTTTTAACATACTTTTAAGAGGTTCTCTGTGCCCCCACACACACACACACACACACACACACACACACACACACACACACACA